TATGTATTAGATGTAAGTGAGGCTCTCTTCCTAATCCATAAGTCCCAGTGACCGCTGTGACACACTGATGTGTAACATGAAGAATTGTGTCACAAGGTTCTGGATTTAGAACTTCCTCTAAATAAGCTCTCTCAACCAGAACAATACCATCTACTTCTACAGGTATTTGAAAATGTGCAGAGGGGCATTTTGAAATTGTCACAATGACCTGTAAGAGAGAACAGAGGGGAAGGATGCTAATGGCAATTAGTAGTTTGGCCCCAGATGCTAAATGAATGACAGTCACACTACACACATGATGGCATTTCATTTACTCCCCTCTTCCACCCCGACCAAAAAAAATCGTATAAATGTTCCCTATTCCCCTCTCTCTCAGATGGTCAAGCCACGCCATTTCCTTTAAACTTAAAAGTCCAGGGCTCAAAACAGAGACTAGATTTACAAACTGCAGCCTACTGGCAGGCAGCTTAATTACTACCACTGTTTTCAGAAGCTCTTGTCTTTTTTTCATTATCATAATCAAGTACAGTCCTCTTCAAAGGTCTGTGTTCAGTTTTCTCCACTGGCATAGTATTTCGCCCCTGCTCCAACACCAGACTTTTGGCTAGCAGATATGAGAAAAGACCTCCACTCTAGTACACTATGCCAGAACAAAAACTCGCCAAGTATCCTTGGAACCTCGTATCTGTAGATGAAGGAAGAGAAATTCCATAACCTCCTGAGAGCATATCAAATTTTTATGTCTAGCAGTACATGTGCCTCTTAATGGGAACGAGGTCCATAGTACTCATAAGACTCTCAAAAGAGACTATGACTTTAAAATATTAAACACAATTGCTCGTTGAAAATTATCCCCCAAATCTTTTACAATTCCTGTGCTTTAAAATCTCTGAAGGTTTCCCAGTATCTGTAATATAGATTTAAACTCTCTCAACATATTAGCTAAAGCACTCCACAGTGAAGCCATCACTCAAAATACTAGAATTCAAAACCTATCCTGGCAATTTTTAATGTACTTTACAATTCTAAGAAATCAAACTACTTCCTTCAAACATATGCTTTCCTTCCTCAAGGTTCTGCTCACAATTTCCCTCTTCTGAAACGTTTTCCTGTATCCTCAATGAACAAAATCCTAATCATTCTTCACGTTCTAGTTCATAGGTCACACCTATAAAGATTTACCTACCTACTTAGCTGAAATTAACCTTACTCATCTGTGCTTTCATAGTATCTTGTATTTCCACTCTAGCACTTGTCACATTCTCCTTGGTTTATGGTTACAGTGAGGTGCCCAATCTCTGGGCTGAGCATAAGTACCAGTCTGTGGCCTGTTAGGAACCAGGCTGCACAGCAGGAGGGAGTGGCAGGCCGGAGAGCAAGCATATCCACCTCCTGTCAGAACAGCAGCAGCATTAGATTCTCATAGGAGTGCGAACTCTAATGTCAACTGTGCACACAAGGGATCTAGGTTGCATGCACCTTATGAGAATTTAATGCCTGATAATCCGAGGTGGAACAGTTTCATCCTGAAGCCATCCCTCCCTTCGCCCCCGCCCCATCCGTGGAAAAACTGTCTTCCACGAAACTGGTCCCTGGTGCCAAAAACGTTGGCTGGGTTATAGTATTGTAATGTTTTCCCTGACCTGGCAGAATATAACTAAAGGACAAAAGCTGCATCTTATGCCTCGCTGTGATCACCAGTAAGTGATACTATGCCCTAAATAATATAAGTTTCTAATATAAATATCTACAAAATTAAATTAAAATTGATACTGGGTACAGTGGCATATGCCTGCAATTGCAACACTTTGGGAGGCCAAGGCTGGAGGATCACTTGAGCCCAGGAGTTTGAGACCAGTCTGGGCAACATAGTGAGACCCTGTCTCTTAAAAAAAAAAAAAAAAAATATTGACCAGGTGTGGTGGAATGTGCCTGTGGTCCCAATTACTTGGGAGACTGAAGTGGGAGGATTACTTGAGCCCAGGAGATTAGGCTGCAGTGAGCCATGATTGTGCCACTGCTCTCCAGTCTGGGTAACAGAGTCAGAGCCTGTCTCAAAAAAAAAAAAAACCCCTTAGATTTGCAAGGAAATTTGGCTATTATTAAACAAAGATGAAAACTACATGGAAGAATGGATGTGAAAAGCATATGGCAATTTCATCCCTTGAAACTTACAAAATGACTAGTCTAGGCCAGTTAAATCCAAGTTCATATACCCACAAATTCTTTCACTCAAAAGGAAAGCCAATTCAGTTATAGAAAGCCTATATGAATAGAAAATGAACGAATGTTAACAAAGTAGTCTGCAAACTATAAAGCATTACACAATATAGATAACTAATCATGACTGTTACAGTCTACTATCCTTTAACATAGTGTATTTTTTAAACTACCAGACTATTTTTTAACAGACCAACATAGTTATAAAGAGTTTTATGGGTTAATATTAATTAACTGAAACAATTCATGACTATCTTAAGATGATTTAAGAGATCATTAGATGCCCAGGTGAAATTATAAAAGTATGAAAAATATCAAAGGGAACTGATACTAAAGTTTTATATTTTAAGATTATGTTTATTATATAGAACATCAAGTATACTAAGCAATGAATAATTTCTAAAGACAGATTTTTTGTCTTCCTTTGTTTAAATTTCAAACTGTTTTATTCATAGCAAGTTTTTTATAAGAAAATTCAAGGAGTAATAAGACTTAGCCAGTTAAGGAAGAACACTTTGTATTTCACATGGTAAACCAGATCATGAGGGAAAAAAAACAACGATTTTCTAGGTCAAGAATGCTCACTTCAGGCATTCCTCAGTAGCTTCAAGGCTCTACAGTATATTATTCCAGGCAAATGGGCAAGGAATAATAAATGAGTGAAAGAGAAACTTCTGGGACAAGTTTAAGTGCTGAATAATTCTCTTATTTTGTATACCCTGTGACCTTCCTAGAGGAAAGGTGTGCTAATAAAAACCATGCTTGGCTGGGCACAGTGGCTCACACCTGTAATCCCAGGACTTTGGGAGGCCGAGGCAGGTAGATCACGAGGTCAGGAGATTGAGAACATCCTGGCTAACACAATGAAACCCTGTCTCTACTTAGAATACAAAAACTGAGCCACGCGTGGTGGCACAAGCCTGTAGTCCCAGCTACTGGGGAGGACGAGGCAGGAGAATCGCTTGAACCCAGGAAGCGGAGGCTGCAGTGAGCCGAGATCGCGCCACTGTACTCCAGCCTGGCGACAGAGCGAGACTCCATCTCAAAAAAAAACTTGCTCATGGGCCACTCAGTTTCTATTCTTGTACCCAAAACCATATGATGTTAATTATTCAGGAGCATATATTAGAAATGCTTTGTGCTTACACATTTTTGTTATAAAAAGACTTTTTATGTTGCATCAACTTATGCAAAAACATAAGTAAGAAAATTTTAGGTTTAAAAATATATAGCCACCTGTTAGCTGAGATACTTCAAAAAGCAGTATCCAAAGAGGAGGAGGAGTAGTAGTCCAAAATGCACTTATAATGACAAAAAAGGTCTTACAACAAGCCATATTACAACATACATTTTAATAAAACACATTGAGTTGTACAAAGCCTATATTCTTTTCATATTCCTTTGTATATTTTATTTAATCTTTCTCTAAAAAGCTAATTAAATGGTGAGAAATAATCCAAAGAATTTCAGAATCAATGTATTTAACTGGGCATATTATGACACCTAAATGTATGGCAGAATTCAGTCTTGGTAGCAAATGCTATAATTTAAAAATAATGGTCCTCTATTTTATAAGGAATGTATAGAAAGTAACAATATAATAGGAATACAGGATTATAGATAGGTAATCAGAAAATTTGAATTCTAGGTTCTAACTAAGCACTACTACTAAGGAACTGAGCCTAATATTTTCTTAACCTCTCTGGGTCTCAGACTATTAAAAAAATGGAAGTAGGAGGGTTGATTTTATATTCCATTCAAGAAATTATGATTCGGTTCACACAAGCAAAGGCTTTTACCCAATAATAAATATATAAAGTATCTACGTGTCAACATGTTAATGTCAGTTAAAAAAGAGCATTATAAACCATTAGGCACTGAAAATTCAAATTTAAAAATTTTAGTGCCTCATAAACAAATACTTTAAAAAAAAAAATTTAAGGCCAGGCAAAAAATAATTACATGTGTTAATGAAAGCATAATCACAATAGGAAACCACACAGCTAATTAAGCCCCAGTTTTTGCCTCAAAAATGTTATAAATTAATGCTTCTTCTATTTTAGAATGTTGATAACTAATACTCTGCAGAAACACTACAAACATGATACTACACAATTAACACAAAATTACTAACTGATTCTGAAATTAAGCACACTTCATTCAGAAAAGCCAAAACCAAATTATTTTTACAAGGTGCAATTCTGCAACTTATGAAAATGCTGAAAGGCAGGATCCTAAACTGAAAGTGTAGGACTATAAAATGGGTAAAGAGTGCATGGGAGCAGTTACGACATTTCCACTTTTGTCCTTTATGAAATTCACTTGGCAATAAAGAAGGCATAAAACTGTTATGTAACTCTATCTTCAAATTTTCAAAGTCAAATATAAAAACAAACAAGGGATAGGAGGCCCTAGAGCTTAGAGCTGCCCAACAAACATACTTAGATAGTAGAATTCTGTATTCAGAGAGGGAAAACCTTATACTTAAACAACCTGTAAATAAGTAGGTCTTTGATCATGAACTTTTAAGTGACTCACGAAGAGAATCAAGCAATTTTAATAGGACTGTACTAAGGTTCTTTCTTAGAGAATATAAAACATGGGGTACCTATTCATTTGTCAAGACCACAATTTAATTTTTTCAATCCCCAAACTAATTGTTATAGATCAAACAGATTTGATTTAAGGTGCAACCTTACTCCTGAAAATTATGAAGCACAAAATATCAATTAAGATCTTCAAATAGGCCATCAAATTTGTTTTTTAAAAAAATTTCTTACTGTAATGAAGTCATTCCCTTTAACCATTCTTCCTTGGTAAAAAATCCCATGCTTTCAGCCTCCAATTTCCACGCTAAAACTAACATAATAATCTGGAAAGAACAGAACATAAAGGATAGGGGAAAAGTCAGCATAGAGATAATCATGTCTATATTTATCATGGAGAGCATTTTTACACAACTACTTCCATCCTTCAACTATTAAAGAGTATAACCTCTGGAATTATTAACTATATATAAAGAAATTGAGATGTGCCAATTTCTTAAAAGTAAAAAGTTCTAACAGTTTCTGAAGGTAGAATCTCTTATTCTATTACATGTAACATTTGTATCAAGAAAGAACACATTTGCCCAACTTAAACTGATTAAATGTGCCCTAAATGCAAATTTACAATATTAAACATGAAGAAATAAAATCTTCATACAAGATTAAAGTGTCTCAATTTTTATAAATTTATGAATATGCTATATCCCACTTATATTCCATTCTACTTAGAAATAAAACATACATTTTCAGGTTCAACACCAATGTCTTCACAAAATTTTTCCATTCCTTCTGGCCCTACAACTTCATCAGGACCTTCAAAGACAAAAATAATTTACATTATTTTGTTATAATATCAACATAAAACATAAACCATCACGCTAAAAGTACCCATGAACACACAATATTTTGCAAATAATTAAATCTGAATTTTGGCATAGCTTTGATAAGTATAAATATTTGCTACAGGATTTAAAATTTAATATTTGTAAAGTATTCTTTGAACACATTATAATATGAAATTAAGAAATTTTTTTTTTTTTTTTTTTTGAGACGGAGTCTCGCTATGTCGCCCAGGCTGGAGTGCAGTGGCCGGATCTCAGTTCACTGCAAGCTCCGCCTCCCGGGTTTACGCCATTCTCCTGCCTCAGCCTCCCGAGTAGCTGGGACTACAGGCGCCCGCCACCTCGCCCGGCTAGTTTTTTTAAAAGCAGCAAAGAAATACTCCATTAGTATCAATCATGAGTCAGTACAAAAACTCAAACCAATCCATTAAAAAAAAAAAAATTTACTGAGAGCTTACTCTGAATAAAATTTTTGACAATGTATGAATATGAAAAAACATAAGGCAGCTGGAGCTTCTTAATCTACTGGAATATCAGAACCAACATAAAGTTCAATACAGTAATCAGAAGGGTTTAATGTTTACTTATAAAACAGGCCATTTATTACCCTTTTGAAATATACTCAAATATAATTTAATTACTGAAAAAGACAAACGTATTTTGGAAATAATGACTTATGGAAATTACTACACTCCATTTCCAGAAAGAGCTATTTTCCTTATCATTTTGGTTCTAAAATAGACAGCAAGCATTAATATCACCTTAATGTAGAAAAAAAAGTTTAATCTTTCAATTAGCTAATGTCTATCATTTGTCCAAAAATTAATTACTGGTATTTAACTTGTTCCTTATTTTACACCCTTAGCAACACTAATAAATCAATACATCAATTATCATTTTTTCAAAATGTTATAAGATTCCCAAAATACAGTAATTACATCATCACTAGTCTCTTTTATGACTGGATAAGACTAAAACAAATGTTGTAATAATATGAGAAATGTGTTTACTGCTATGGGATTTTGAAAATATAATCTTGAGGTATTATTCTTAATAGTCAAGAGAAGCCTCTGTTTTCCTTTTTAAAGGATGAAAATCTTCCAGCTTTATAAACCATGGACTAGACCAAGGCTGCTCAGGTAGATTTGATAGCACCATCTTTAGGTTACTAACACAACATAAAGTCAATACATTCTTGCTGCCTGGGATCCAAGCTGCTAAGATGACATTAATACATGGTCTGAAGCCAAAACCCTTTTTAATTTTTTTGTGTAACATGGTAAATGTTATTAGGTTTAAGTAAGTACTAACAATGCACTCATGTGTTAAAAGGTGAAGGGGGTGATTAATTATAGGGTGCTTTTTCTTCCTTTATATATTTGGAGAACTGTTTAAATTAGAATGTGTTAATTTTATAATTTAAAAGGCATACATATACAATAAAGGTGTTAAAAATGCGTAACTGAGTATGTATTCTTATATATGATTGAAAGAAAACAAAAATCAGATTTAAAAATTTAAGAGGCCTAGGTGCGGTGGCTCATACCTATAATCTTAGCACTTTGGGAGGCCGAGGTGGGAGTATCACTTGAGCCCAGGAGTTCCAGACAAACCTGGACAACATAGGGAGACCCTATCTCCAGGGAAAAGAAAAAAATAGCCGTGTATGGTGGTCCCAGCTACCCAGGAGACTGAGGTGGGAGGATTGCTTGAGCCCAGGAGTTTGAGGCTGCAGTGAGCCATGATCACACCATTGTACTCCAGCCTGAGAGAGAGCAAGGCCCTGTCTCAAAAAAAAAAAAAAAAAAAAAAAAAAAAAAAAAAATTAAGGGAAAAGACAAATGGTTGTTTTAAAAGCCATGATGAGAATATATTGTAAATTTTTCTAAAGCATCAAGAAAACATACTTGCTCTCAAAGTTGCCCTTAGAGATTCGAAGAGAAAGCTGAAGAGGATGTCAAGAAATACCAGTATAAGCCAGGAACGGTGGCTCACGCCTGTAATCTCATCACTTTGGGAGGCCGAGGCAGATGGATTACGAGGTCAGGATTTCAAGACCAGCCTGGCCAAGACGGTGAAACCCCGTCTCTACTAAAACTACAAAAATTAGCCAGACGTGGTGGCAGGCATCTGTAATCCAAGCTACTAAGGAGGCTGAGGCAGGAGAATCGCTTAACCCAGGTGGCAGAGGTTGCAGTGAGACGAGATTGCGCCACTGCACTCCAGCGTAGGTGACAGAGCGAGACTCCGTCTCAAAAAAAAAAAAAAAAAAAAAAGGAAATATCAGTATAGCCCCCCTAGAAACTGGAGGATTACTTGGTGATTACTAATTAAAATTTGGTTAGAATCAAGTCAAATGAGATTACATAGAGATATAATAACTTATAACTTAGATAAGGTCTGTAAATGTTAACTGACTTTGCCAACGTGATGTAAATAGTAACAGATCTAAGTCGAAAGCAAAGTCTATAACTAATGTGCTTTCCCCAGACTGCAAAACGTTAATCCTTCCAATAACACTGCTTCCAATCTTTCTAATAAAACTACTGTATGGGTAAAACCTCTGGAGCTAAATTTAATTAACTCTTTTGGACAATTAGGTTTCCACTCAATTGAAGAAGCTATAGAAATGATTTTGTTCATACTAGGAGTTCATGCTACTCTACCAGCTAGGTACTATATTACGACTATGCAATTCCAAACTTATTTTTTGACTCTATGAGATCTTAAAACTGCCCTTTCACTTTCCATGTTTTTAATTACCATAGGTCAGTACATTACTGAATCATTAATTTAACTGTCACTCGAGAATGAGGTCTTGTGAAAGAACAAAACGGCCTTATCACACATGATATAATACCATAGTAAAAAGTTTAGTGATATTTTCAAAACTAAAAGAAAAACATCATCAATTTCCTGATTTCTTTATAACTATAAAGAAATGTTCCCAGCTATATCTGCAAGGCCTAATACCATGCCAGCCATAACAGATGCTTAGGGGGGGAAAAAAAAAAAAGCTCAGTGACACAGCACCTTCAACATGAGCTACATAAGAGTAGTTAATTTTGGAACACTGTAAAAAACACAACCAGTAAATCTGATGGTGTAATGCTATTACTGTTTTAATAATAATAACAACTAACATTTGAGTTCTGACTACCAGGTATTGTGCTAAGGGCTTTACATGTATTATTCTTAGTAGGCAAAATTATTGCCTTCATTTTAATAAGAACACACCCATGTCAAGACAGAACAGTTACTATTTGGCAAAAACACACGGTTCCTCCCTAAACAGGTCTCTGCACAAAGTGGTCTCCACAGAGAGGCCTTCCCTAATCACTCTATCTGAAAGTCCATCTAACCCTTCTTTATTCTCTATTCCTGAACCTCACCATATTTATTATCCTTATAACTCCCCACAATCTGTACTTATCTTGCCTACATACCTGTTTACTGTCTTCCTCACTAGAAGGCAAGTCCCCCAAAGGCAGGGATCTTGTCTGATTTGCTCAGCACTATATATCCAGCACTCAGCACAGTGCCTGATTCAAAACAAGTGCTCAGTATTTATTGAATGGATGACAGAAGTTAACCAAGAGTACCAAAATTTTCTTTGCAAAAGTGAAAATTAGCTTAAATAAAAAATAAACACAAAATTATGTCTATTATAACAAAATGTTTATAACTATATATAATTATAAACATTATAAAATTTAAATACAAAATACATAAAAGCATAGTAGTTAAAAGCATGGAATTGGGGCCAGGTGCGGTGGCTCAAGCCTGTAATCCCAGCACTTTGGGAGGCCGAGACGGGCAGATCACGAGGTCAGGAGATCGAGACCATCCTGGCTAACACGGTGAAACCCCGTCTCTACTAAAAAATACAAAAAACTAGCTGGACGAGGTGGCGGGCGCCTGTAGTCCCAGCTACTCGGGAGGCTGAGGCAGGAGAATGGCGTAAACCCGGAAGGCGGACCTTGCAGTGAGCTGAGATCCGGCCACTGCACTCCAGCCTGAGCGACAGAGCAAGACTCCATCTCAAAAAAAAAAAAGCATGGACTTTAGAATCAGAAGGACCGGGGTTTGAATCCTGGCTCTTGTCACTGTATGATCTTGGGCAAATTAATTAATCTAAGTCTCAGTTTTCTCATCTATAAAATGAGGGTATGGCCAAGCACAGCAGCTCATACCTGTAATCCCACCACTTTGGGAAGCTGAGGTAGGTAGATCACTTGCGCCCAGGAGTTCGAGACCAGCCTGGGCCACATGGTGAAACCCCATTTCTACAAAAAATTAAAAAAATTAGCCAGGCGTGGTGGCACATGCCTATAATCCCACCTACTAGGAAGGATGAGGTGGGAGGATGGCCTGAGCCCAGGAGCTCAAGGCTGCAGTCATGATGGCAGTACTGCACTCCAGTGTGGGCGACAGAGTGAGACCCTGTCTCAAAAAATAAAGTCGTAGTGGGGAGGTGGTGATAATACTACCTACTTAACAGAACAGTCACAAGAAAAAAATACTATACCTAGGACAATTCCTGAATAATGCAATTATTATGTTGGCTATTAAAAATGCTAATACAGTAAACAAATGTTTAATTAGAATCTTATGTTACCTAGAAAGTTCCTAGTTGAGGAAAATATTTTCTATTTCTATTGTATCTAGTAACCTTTATAAATGAAATAAGATGAATGACCTTTTGATTCTATATCATGCATACCAGTAAAACTGGCATTTGGGATAATGGGTCAACATTTTAAATGGAGGTCAGTAAGAAATGAATTCCCTTCATTTAAATTGGGTTAGTGGTTGTCTTGGGATGCCAGTAATAGCATTTACTTCTGGTCTAGAAAGAATCTGTTCTGTCACTAAACAATTTTAAAATTGTACTTTGGGATCACTCAGCTGATCCCAACAGTGAAGTTACTGCCCCCCTTTCAAAATAGTCTCACATTCCATACAATTAGCCTAAACTTATACCTCAAGTTCAAAGTATACCACTTTAGACCTTAATGTGGATGAGCACTAAATATAACGCAATAGCTACATATACACTTTTATTTTAAACAAACATTTTGAGAATGATGGTGACTAAAAGGAGAAAAAAAAAGTGAAACAGGTAAAAAAAAAAAAAAAAAAAAAAAGGAAACAGGGAAAAGAAAAAGAAAAGCTTTAAAATCAATAACTCCAAAAAAACCAAAATTATTCTAAGGGGAAAAAATTTCATATATGCTTATGAGATAGTATAAGTGTTCTTGTGCATATATTTGCTTAACTCTTCAGCCTCATCTCTGGTTGGCTTTGACTTTTGCCTCTAAAACACAACCCCACCTGGGCCTAGGGCTCTTCATCCACCAGTTACAGGATTTAACTGAGGTTAAGTTAGCTCCTCTAGAAAACTCCCATGACACTTTAAAAGCTGGGTTATATATTCCTCCTATGAACTCTAACAGTGTATCTTCTGAATACAGTATTTATCACACTGTATTAATATCAGTTTATTTATTTTCTTACTATTGCATCTCTAGTAGAAGTGGATGGCTAAATGATAATTATTAAAAGGTAAATGTGTTATACAATTATAACTGAGGGGTATAAATCTTTTCCTATGTCTCCCCAAAAGTTTCAGAAAATGTTAGTTCAGAAAAATTTCAAAAAAAGAATATTGAATAGAAATGTTCTATTATGTACTTTGTGTTTTCCACAATATCAAGTACAAAAATGTTTTATTATATACCTTTTATTTTCCAGAATACTACTTTAGCCAATGGATGTAAATAAGTGAATCTTTGTTTACACATTTTATTAATAGTAAATGAGTTTCTTCCCTCCCAGTAAATATATATTGAATATATATTTAAAGAAATATCAGCCTAAATTGGCAACAAATTTTTAGCCTACCCACAATCGTCAGTCCCGACCCTCATCCCAGTTCACAGCACTAACACATAGCAGGCCTGTAACAGATAATTTGTTAAATGAATGAGCCAAATAAACTTTGGAAGCATATGACTGGTATCTTCTTACATTAATTTCATTACCTGCATATTCATAAAACCAAGCCAGGCACTTCTTGCTTGAAAAATGTTCCTCTCCACTTATTAGTCTAGCAGGGGGTTGGGATCTGCAATAGCTTAGAAAACACACAGATGCCTAAGATTTTTATCACATCTCAACTCTTAGAGAAAAACTAAGTTCAAAATTAACTACTTCAATTCACATTAAACAAAGATTTTTTTTTCTTCGGTTGGCATTACTGGAAAAAAATTGAAGTTGTTAAGTAACTGCAACTTGAAACAGTAGTCTATACGTAAGAATTATCGGCTAACAAAACCCAAACACCTCTTCACTCAGTATCAAAATCCAAAAATATCAGTAAGTTATTTCCTCACATTTTAAAAGACTACAAAGAAGTTCAACCTAGTAGTTGGAAAAGTATAAATATTTATTGTGATTCTATTGATTTGTATACAAATTCTATTTGTGTGTAATAGATAAATATTGAAAACACGAAGTATATTTTGATACTTAATGAATCAATATTTCAAAATAAAATGTTATATTAAGAGTTGTTTTATCACCTAAGCTTAGATTTTTAAAGATAAATGATGACTTAGGACCTAAGGGTATATTAAATTTCACAGATTTAAAAAAACACAACAAAAAAACCCTAAAAGTTAATAATAGTCCAAATAATTGGGACAGGGTATTTAATCCTAGCTCCTGTTCATTCTGTTTCATTTTTTTCATAAAATTTCTCTTTTTCATAAAATAACTAAAATTTGGTAAGCTCAAAATGGCCTCTAGAATTTAATGACTTTCAGAGAAACTTTTTTCAAGGAACTCAAATAATTATCCTACAATGATATAGAAATGCTAGAACCTCTGTAATTGAGTAATGTAAAGTAAGAGTATTATATTTAAAAATTTAAATTGATAGAGCAAAGTATCACCTGAGTTCTAATAATACTGCCTGCTCAGCAATTTTGATGTACTTAAATAATTTTAATACATTATATACTTAAGATGGCCATGAGATAGAGTAATACAAAAATGAATTAATAATTTGCCTATATATTATAAAAATATGAGCTACTAAAGAAACCCATGTCAAATTCTAATGTTGGCTAACAAGAGGTATAAGAAAAGTGTATCATCTTTCACATTAATAGCCCAAGAAATACTTCTTAGACTCCTTTACCAAAACACAGTAATGAGGGAAAAAAGTCGACCAATATACAAAAAAGATGACTAGATAAGTCATCTACCTCACAGTTTAAGCAGATCTCTGTTTAAGGAGAGCTCTAGCATTACTTCCTTCTTATAATCCTGGCTACTGTCTTCTTTTAATAGTAGCACCTTAAGTTGTCATATCAAGTGCCAAACATTAATGAAAAGGCAGCTAATATGTGTATTTTTTAAAAAAGCATTTCTCAGTCGGGCGAGGTGGCTCACGCCTGTAATCCCAGCACTTTGGGAGGCCGAGGCGGGCGGATCGCGAGGTCAGGAGTTCAAGACCAGCCTGGCCAACATAGTGAAACCCCGTCTCTACTAAAAATACAAAAAATTAGCAGGGTGTGGTGGTGGACACCTGTAATCCCAGCTACTTAGGAGGCTGACGCAGGAGAATCGCTTGAACCCGGGAGGCGGAGGTTGCAGTGAGCGGAGATCGCGCCACTGCACTCCAGCCTGGGCGACGGTGGAAGATTCCGTCACAAAGAAAAAAAAACAAAAAACAAAAACCACTTCTCACACCAAAATTGCTGTTATTTTTTTGTAGCATATAATTTTGCTGTGATGCCTCCAGGATATGCTACAAAGGGATCAAAGAACTACTACTATATAGTTCTGCCTTGTCTTCTTTCTTACCAATAGGACAGAGTACAAGAGTTCACAAATCATTTAATTTATGCTGAGAGCGAACAGCGTCCTGAATGCTAGAAGACAAAAAGCATGCAGGGCCTTTCCAACTCTGCACACAGGCACTTGGCATAGGTGAGGCACTATACTTCCAGAAAATGGGGCTCCTGCAATTTAAAAGGCCTCCTGCTGGGACCTTCCGGGTTAGGCCACTCCAAATACTAAATATGGAGGCCAATTACAGCATACAAGTTTTCCTTTCTACCATTCCCAAGACAGTTGACAAGATTCCTTATGTGCTGCTTTCTTCACACTCTACAAAGAAATTCTAGAAGTGACCCTTCCGCGGAACTGCACTCACTTCTAAGTCTAGAAAAAAAGGGCAGAGGAGCGATACGGGAGTAGGAGATTGAGGGTAGGTTGTGGGGTGGGGGTGGGGGGCAGCGCAATTTACATATGCATCTGTTCCCCACCCTGCAGGGCACGTAGACTCTAAACGTGGGCGGCTCTTCTAGTCTCTCCATAAACGCCAGCGTGCACACACTCGAACACGAGGTCGGGTCGGGCGCGGAGACTCGCGGTGTTCGGCACCTACCGCCTAGCTCGATCAAAGGGGCCTCACCTGTCTCCAGCCCCAGCCCGGCAGGCCGGGCCCGACTCCTTTTCCTCCAGTTGTCCAGCAAAGGAGGGAGGAGGGAAGCTTGAAGGGTGGGGGGAGATGGTACCTGGAGATTTTACACTTTTTGAGGCCTCCGTCTTCCGCTACTGCGGCTGCCACCCCAGGGGATTTTCTCTTCTTCTTCACCGGCATCTTCCGCCCTCCCCGGCAGGGTGGGCAGGGGAGCCGGGGAAGGGGGTCCCTGTCCGCTGGAAGCCCCTCAGCGCTGGCACCCAGTTCCCAGAGACAGCAGCAAGCGGAGGAGCAGAGTCGCCAGCCCGCACCGGCGCGGCCCAGCCCGGCCGACGCCCGCTCCCAGGTATCCTCGTCGTCTTTCTCTGACCGGGACAGGGCTGGCTCCTCGCCGGTGAACACTGCGGTTCGTTCTCACCGGGAGGAGATAACGCGGACAGCGCGGCAGCTCCACCAGTCACAGAAAGCAGAAGGCTCAGCCTAACCCGGAGGCGAATCGCTGAGGCCCGGAAGTGACGCGATCGCGGAGCCGGTCCCGGGAAGGGGCGTGATTCCGGTTGCCTCTGCCACTCGTAGGTAGGCCAGGCAGGGGGAAGCTGTCTGACCCTCGCAACTGCGGCTGCCCGCGGAATTCTGTATTCGGTCCAGAGTATCCTGACGTTTCTCATGGAGTTTCTGCCGCGCTCTGATGCTGGCAGTCACCGCCAAAAAATGAAACTACTAATACTTTGCAGTTGACGTTAAAAATAACCTGGTAAAGTAGACCAAGTTCCACTTCTGAGCTCTTCCACACGATAACCTCACCTGAAGTGTTCCCACCCCTTAAATACATTGTCACCCTGTGTCTTGCGTGTTTTCTTTATGGGCCTGTGATCAGCCTCCCACTCCCCCTTCTCCCTTTTCCCTACCTTTGCATATCACTTTGTCCTGTATTGAAACTTAGCTCTACCATTATTTCCGCAGAGCTCACCTCTCCGATAACAGATAGTAGATGACCGCTACTTAGTAGGGAGAAATTTGGGGGACAGTTCTAAGGAGCCTCCCCCTAGACCTTACTAACCAAAACACACTGTAATCTATTCACTTGCACTTAGGTGGAAATACTGTTTTTAAATAATGGTTATTGTATGTAAAGACATAGTAGAAATTCGTTAGTAATTATGTTGGTAAAGTAAATTTATCTCTGCAAACCAACTGTCATGGGAGAAGACTAAAAGTCTGAGTAACAGTTGAAGTGGTTCCTGTGAAACTACCTTCACCATGGCACCCTAATCTGGCCAATCCGAATATCATATTTCCTTAGTGTTATTAATTAGTTCAGGATGGACGCATACTCAGGCTAGGCCAATGAGTGCCAGTGACACAAAATTAAACTACCAGGAAGCAATTTTATTTCCTATGGATTTGAACCAGAGAAGGTACAGAGAATGAAGCCAAAACTCAGAAGAGAGCAGTAGCAAGCAGAAAAATAGAAAAACCAGAATATGATTATATGATATGAGCCCCAAATCCATGATATGCCCTGGAATTTTCAGTTATGTGAACCAACGAATTTCACTATTTTGCATATTTAGTTCAATTCTCTGTTACTTAAAACCGAAAGAATGTTAAAGTATATGATCCTTCAACCCATTTAAAAACGCATGAGGCCAAAAAAAATCAAAACAGAATCAGAGAAAGTCAACTACCATCTGCAAAAAGCACAGGACAGAGGAACATGTTAAATACCCAATGCAATCAGCAATATCTAGATGTCAGAAAAGTCTACAGGACAAATGACCCAAATTCTGCAACAAATTATTAGGATGAGAGGAGAGAGAAGGAAATTAAAAGAGACTTAAAGGATATGTCAGTCATTTTCAGTGTGCAGTTCTTATTTGAATTTGAGTCACACACAGTTTAAACAATATTATAACATCTATGTAGCAATTGGAGATGTTACTGCTAGCTGGATATTTGGTGAAATTCTAGAACATGTAAAACTTATTTATAGCAATGGCATATCAGTGACACTTGGGGACAGAGATGGAGTGAGTCGGGGAAGACTGACTGCAAAGAAACATAAGGGAACTTTTTGGGTGATGAACATATTCTATGTCTTGATTGAAGTAATAGTATATATACTTGTCAAAATTCATTGAATTGTACACTTAAAATGGATATTTTTATGAATATGCTTCCTAAACAAAATTTATATAAAATGTGCAAAACAAACCACAAAATAAATGATAATGCCAAAACTATTAGAGATAGCCAAGCTTATTTCTTCAAGAAGTGAGCTGCAAAAGCTAAACAGCCCATTTTCCCAAGGAGGACCAAAGAAATGGAACAAAACCTAAAGGATGGAAAGAAAGATCTCAGAGGATGATATTAAAGGTGTGTCCTTCCAGAGAGTAGAATCAGGGCCTGATCAAAGTGTAGGGAATTTCATAATGCCTGTCTTGCAGGCTACCAGCATTGCTATAGACCAAAGACCACTGCACATCTCATCTCATCTTCTGTTCTTTTTTAAATAGGAATTTTTTATTGTGATAATTGTGTCCCTTCTTCACCATTATTTATTGGGCGAGAGTGGGAAATAGATTATTGCCTCTTAGTTCATAGGCCATTGGACCATAAGGAATCACTTTTGAACAAAGGAAGACCGCACTATACATGGAAATCCTGGACACTGAGCTGAATGCAGTAACTGAACAGGAGCCTACTGACACCCATAGAATACTCTGAAAAAAAAAGACAAAAGGCTGGATCTATGTGTGGTTTTCATTTAGTCTATCTACTCAAAAAATATTTAATCATCACTTCAACCAGGAGCTTTACTGGGCCTAAGAATATAAAAGGCAGACATGACTCCTGCAATCATGGAACTGCCAGTCTGGAGGGAGAAATAGTCATGCACCACATAACGACATTTTGATCAAGATGTGCATATGCGATGATAGTCCCTTAAGATTATAATACTGTATTTTTACTGTGCCTTTTCTATGTTTAGGTACTTTGAGATACACAAATACAATTGTGTTAAAATTGCCTACAGTATTCAGTACAGTACCATGCTGTACAGGTTTGTAGCCTAGGATCTATAGGCTATACCATATAGCCTAGGCATGTAGTAAGCGATATCATCCAGGTTTGTATAAGTACACTCTATGATGTTCACACAATGATGAAACTGCCTAACAACACATTTCTCACAATGTATTCCTGTCAATAAGCAATATATGACTCTATGTATGCTATCTGCATTTAAGAGAATTGTATGAATAGGAATTAGGGTTCATGATCTATGCTTGTCAATGATATCAAAGGGATGGCAATTTCTGGGTCATGTAGACCATTCACATCCATCTACCTCTTCATTCTCTTGTCTGGTCAGTACCTACTGCTACTGGCAAACCTCCATTCCCAAAAGTTGGCTCTTCATCACCCTAATTACTCTCATAACGGGGCATACTGATAGCCTTGCTACCTATGAGAAGTATAGAAATGCCTAGTTATGTGGCTTTAATATTTTCTGCTGCTCACCGATGCACACATAGTGCATGATTTTGCATCAAAAAAGATACCTCTAATACAGAAACAAACTATGACGAGTACTGTGGCTCTCTGTCGTGCAGTAGAATTTTTAAAATGAAGGTAATGACAAGGAAGGGAGGGATGAAGTAGTTACCTGAAGCGGAATCCTGTGTGTTCTGGTTTCAGATCCAAAGAAGACACTCAAGTGACTTTAGGAAAGGGATATAATTTCCTTTATCTTTCATCTTATCCTGTTGTTATACAGAAGGATGTAGGAAAAAAACAACAAAAATAATACTTATGCTGAATAGGGAAGTAATTAAGCAAGAATACTGAGACCCAGTTCTATTATCTATTTGGCATCTTGGTCATATATACATCCCTTAGCTTTTGGGAGTTATAAAACAAAGCCATGAAAAACATCTCTTAAAATAGTTATATCTCTGTCAAGGTATCCAAAAATAGTACTCTAAGATGTGTTAATTTATATATTCCGTACATAGTTTAGTTTTTCTTAACACCTCTTTAAAATAGGACTTTCCCACTTGCAAGAATAACAAGCAACACAGACATTAAGTGATTTATGGGATGCCACATGTTATTGTGGTCCCGGATCTGTGCAGATGCTCTCCCTTCCATGTATTAATGTTGATTTTTAAAACAACTTTGTAGTTAAAAATTTTGTGAAATGTTTCATGCACATAAATCTACAGAAAGATAACACTAAGAGACTAGTAGAAATGAGATGTCAAGACAGGATTTTTTGTTTCGGCGTTTCAGTATAGCCTACAAGAACTTGTATTTTAGAGAGGCCCAGAAGTGCAGAACTATGTAACTCATGACACTTACCCCCTACATCCTAAAGCTTGGCTGTGACTGTGGTTCATTCTGGGATCTAGACTGAGGGAATAGTCACTACCTAGAACACTGCTTGTCATCATGACAGAGGGAAAGAACAACATGGTAAACCTCATGCTGCCTGTCGAGGATTCTGCCCTGAAGTGACACATTAATCCTGTTCAAGTCATGTGGCTACACCTGAGGTCATGAGGGCAGGAATGTACAATCCTCCTGCAGAGAAACATTAAGTAAAGGTAAATACAGCCTACTACAGTAAGAGATTGGACTGAAATTTTTTTCAAAGCGTAGGGAAAAATGAGTTCACAGTGCAGTTTTAAAGAGGCAGTAGGAAAATGCGTAAGATTGGTTTCTGCTTATACCTCAACATGGCAGATTATATTCTTCAAAGGTGGTCACAGCAATATGTCTCATCCCACATATTCTAGAAACTTACCATTTCCTATCAAAAAGTGAAGTCTAGTTGAAAAAAATAAACATTGGTTCATTCATTTTGGGAAATGTACCATATCAATGTAAGACATTAGTAATAGGGGAAACTGGGTGTGGGATATATGAGCAGTTTCTGTAGTATCATTGCAATTTTTCCACAAAATTAAAACTCTTCTAAAATAAATTATTAAAAAGTCATAGTGAATAGGGAAAAATAAAGAAAATTTGGAAAATAGTGAAGTACAGGAAGAAAGAGTAATGATTCAAAAGAGCTGCCTAGGTTGGATGCTTTTGGAAAGGTAAGAATCTAAAAACTTCTGGATGTGGGATCATAGGTAGAAAGCAATGTCTTATATATAAGCTGGCCAAGGACAGAGCAATTTCAGCTTGAAACCTAACCAGGAAGACTAAGAACAAGTGTTCAGGTGGGAAACTGTATTAAACAGTACACCTGATTTACCTTCCCATATGTGAATATGTACCCCAAATGAAGAACAGTAGTTCAGGCCAGGTGCTGTGACTCTTGCCTGTAATCCCAGTACTTTGGGAGGCCAAGGTGAGTGGATCACTTGAGGCCAGGAGTTCAAGACCAGTCTGGCCAACATGGGCAAAACCCTGTCCCTAATAAAAATACAAAAATTAGCCGGGCGTGGTGGCACATGCCTGTAATCTCAGCTATGTGGAGGCTGAGGCA